CGCGTCGTGGTTTCCTACGCTTCTCTCGTGCTCTCCCTACATCCCGCGTGCTTTGATCAGAGTATCAAACACGGAATTTCGTCTTTTATTCCTTAAATCAAACATGGTTTTCGACCAATCACAGCGCGCGTAGTATCCTAAATATTTTAGAAAGCTTAATCTTTCGTACAATTGTTATTGTCAAAGGCACATTCCGGAAAGAGTTCTTGTCATTTACGCAACTAGTATATTTTCTAATTTAACTTCAGTTTGGAGCGTAAAAAAATCTTCCCTCCTTATCACTCAAATAACCAAATTTCTATCCCCAACAAGCACTGCCAGCTATATTTGAGCTAAATTACGACGAAATAATTTTTGAAAGTTTTCGACCTCCATTATCCAGCACAACTCGTGTGCGTTTGTTCACATATCAGCTTTATTAAGAGGTTATTAACCGAGCGCGAGGTCTGTACGGGACAATATAAGACCGAGGTCTTGACAGTACGGACCGTCAGAGCAGCGAGGTCCGTACATAAAAGACCGAGGTCTGATATTTTCCCGTACAGATCGAGCAAGCGAGGTTAGTAACTCGTTTATTATATGACTTTTACATCGTAGATTATGTAGAAGAATTACTCAAAGTACATAGGAAAAGCCCTCACTGGTCAACTTGCAACCCGTTGCCTCCCTCTATCTGATGGCAACGCGTTTCTCAAATATCTCACGATATGAGTAAAATGACAAAGAAATCATCATATTTTCAGTAATTGTCGGCTGAAAAGACGGGGATTTTGGCTCCTTGTTTCATAGATTCAGTTTATTTTCACACACAAATACATTATTATTACGGATTACTCACAAATTTTCACTGATTCTTCTATCGTCGCGGCCGCCATTGTAGATTTGTTTACTTTTTCGATTTGGATGTCTCTAAATATAGAATTATATATATGATATCAAAGAGGCAAGATTTTGCTGTAACTCCGAGTTTCGTGCTACGCACTCATCAGACAGTATTTAATGATAAACATTCCTATAATCTAGATATATATACATGCTATAGAACAAAAGGCTAAGCTATTTACATACAATACGTGATAGTTATGCTAGAAACAATAGGTGTGAAGGTAAAAATTACAAAAGAGAGTATACTATTAATGCCCGCTAGACCACAAATGCTTATCTTCCAGTGTAATCTACAACGCGCAAGTCACAACCAGCAACACAACCAAGAACTACATCGGACTGACAGAAGGAACATTCAAACAAAGATTCTCGCAGCACAAATCTACATTAAACACAGAAAACACATCAACAGCACCGAACTTTCTAAGTACATCTGGCAACTAAAAGACAAAAAACAAGACTTCAACATCAAATGGACAATTATCAGCCGTGCAAGACCCTACAACAACATATCCAAACGATGCGACCTCTGCCTTACAGAAAAACTTATGATAATTAAACACAGTAACGACAATATACTAAACAAAAGATCAGAACTCATCTCTAAATGCCGACACGAAAACAAATTCTACCTGAAGAACACTTGACACCTCTACAGCCTATTGTATTCACACCTANCTGACGGTTAACAACACGAAAATGCGCGCAAACTTTTTAGAGTCGTCACCGTTGTACCGTGAATTATGATCAAAATAAACAGCAAATATTTATTTATTTGCGTTGCTGTAGAATCAAGACACAAGACAAATCTAAAGCTATAATAACCACACAAGACGCAATGAAACGCGTTTGGAGTCTTTATTCTCTGCGCCGCAGCAAAACTATGACAGAAGGCATTGTAAGGCTAAATTGGAAATACTGTAACAATAGCACACCCAGTACGCAAATGAACGTGTTTTCTAACGAGTATATTATAAGAGCCTAAACTAAACATCAAAACAAGACGCACTGAAATGACCCGCAAAAACCTTTCTAGAACTCATTAATAATTCATGAACTATTAGTCCAATTAGTATCGAACTATTGGGTCACATGATGGGCCTTTATATCCCGATAAAGCACTGATGTTTTATTAATCAGTTCTATGTGATATTTAAAAAAACGAGTAGGTGTGTTTTATTTAAGGAATAAAAGACGAAATTCCGTGTTTGATACTCTGATCAAAACACGCGGGATGTAGGGAGAGCACGAGAGAAGCGTAGGAAACCACGACGCGTAGCGGAGTGGTTTCCAGCTTTTCGAGTGCTCTCCCTACATCCCAAGTGTTTTGATCAGAGTATCAAACACAGAATTTCGTCTTTTATTTCTTTTCTAAAATTAAAAGAATACGAAAATTGTAAAGAATTCTGACTTTTGATACGATATGTGGCTGTCGTCTATCTCTGCAAATCTCGAAGTATCTTCTGCAGCTTCTTTAGCTTCTAAAACGTTTGATAGCTCTTCTTCTGGGATATCATCCCAGAGGACATCATAAATAGGCATTTCTTCGTTCATTGTTCTTGAAAATGAATGATAACAACAACAAATGCAAACGGCGGGAAAAAAGAAATTTTTGACGCGAGCGAGCGTGTTTTGATACTGTAATCAAACATGGTTTTCGACCAATCACAGCGCGCGTAGTATCCTAAATATTTTAGAAACTGTAATCAAACATGGTTTTCGACCAATCACAGCGCGCGTAGTATCCTAAATATTTTAGAATGCACAGTCCCTAATTGAAGACGCATTCAATTTAATAATAATACTTTTAAGTTAAATATTATATTAACTATTATGTTAACTGTTTTACGTTTTGATTTTCTTCTATGTAAAACTAGAACCACGACCTGGATTTTACCGTTCAATGCAGGCAGAGACATTTTATTGTTCATTGATACCACTTATATATAGAACGCTATAGCCACCTTCCCCTTATCGGTGTATGCTTGGTCATATATTTCATTAAAGGGAAATGGTCCACTAGCATGCAATGCGGTCGTGTTTTAGATTTTTCATATATGGCAAATGAGGTGACTTCGAATAATCCATTTGCAATCCGTTTCCATCCATCGGTTTAACGGTCAAATCTTAAAGCATCTCCATTCATATAGGATAAAGGAATAATAAAGAGTACGTTTTTGCTTATATTACGATGTATTTCTATTTTCAAACATAAACAAAAGCTCGAAAGGGATGCTGGTGGACCATGTCCCTTTAAACAATTAAGAGTGGCTGTCCGTAAGAATCAAACAAATATCAAAATAAGTGGCAAACCTTGAAAAATCGATTTGGCTCATACTTTGATGTTTGGTAGGGTAATGTGTCCTAAGAATCCTGGTATACTTGGTTAAGCTAAATTATTTTTTTATTTTTTTTTAGTAATTTTGCAAATTAGTAAACATGGTCGAAATTGTCGATTTTACGACTGATTTTTGGTCCGAATAAAGTGGTCGGCTAATTTGAAGGAAAACTCGTTTATACAAGGGCTATAACAAATACAATCGCAATATCATTCAAAAACTGTTATGGTTGTCCTGGCGCCCTTGCACCTAGTAAACGGAACACCCAACTCTTGTATCAGTAGAGAGCCATATTGAGTTTTGAATTTAAAAAAATGAGAATATATAGGAATACAATACAATACAATACAATAAACTTTATTTAAGGAGGGTGACACGGTTAACCCAAAGAGTTATCTAACACGTGGCCCTCACACTACTGAAACAATTACAAAATATAAGAAATAATATTTACAAATAATGATATAAAAAAAAAAGAAATCTGAAATATATAATATTATTTCGAAAAATACCCACAAATCAACTAATATATCTTGTTTTTTAACTATTGGTAATTGGGATTCCTGTGCCCAACCGTATGTGCAATCAAAAACATCAAACCGGAAACGGACAGGAATTACTTTTTTGAAGACTACCCCAATACAACTGCAGAAAAGCCAACTTTAATACAATTTAAGTGATAAACATGTGTTGTAAAGGTTAGTTTAGCATGACAGGACAATTATTTCAAATAATTTAAGTCATAAACTTTCAAATTGGGTCCCTGGAAATAGCGACAAATGCAACAGAATTTAACCTTGTAACTTTGTAACTTTGTAACTTCGTAACTTGTAGCGCTATTTCCAGGGACCCGATATTACATGGGCGCGCGGAGATACGGATTTTATCTTCGAGTGTTGAAAATATCTCTCACGAGCGAGCGTAGCGAACGAGTGAGAGATTTTCAACACGAGAAGATAAAATTCGTATCTCAAAGCGACCATGTAATATTCTGTTTATCATATAGGTGGGCGTTTTTACGTTCAAGCTAATTTGCATAAAATTCAGAAATCGAATTTCAAGACACAAGAAAATGAAGCCCATAAATGAAAAGAACTCATACCTGTTAACAATTCCTGCAAATTTGAAGGCAATTGGTTAAATATTTCAAGAGATGTCAAGGGCCAAATTTGCAAGATTTTCTAAAGAAATGACCGTGGTTGGCATTATTTTGCCAACCACTGAATGTTTTCTATAGATTTTCTAGTTTTGAAATGCCGATATCTCGAAATGTAAAAAGGCGTTTGCCCTAAAATTTTCAGGTTTTGTTGAGAGTAATATAATCTTGAAATATATGAGTTTAGATTGCTTATTTTTTGAATTTTATATTTTGGGTGTAAACAAACTACGTCATCGTACGCCCACCTATAATTAAATATGAAAGCAAATTATGTCGGAATATATCTTTTTTCACWAGTGAAAATATCAATTTAACGTAATTGAGAAATATAGGTATTTCATAGATAATTATATGATAAAAAACGATATTCAGCTTAACCAAGTATACCAGGATTATTAGGACACTTTACCCTACCAAACATCAAAGTATGAGCCAAATCGATAGGTTTTTCCACCACATGTTCGATTTTCTCGGACATGTACTCTTAATTCCTGCGTTACATGTGCTTAGAGAGTTTTCTTCTTCTTTTGCTGAAGATAGTGCCTTCCCTGTCTCTAGAAGAGGAACAAATGGTTTTTAAAAAGTTCCTGGATTTCAAAGTTTACATCGGGCCTGGACAAGCATTTTGTTACAATGAAGGTGGATGGTTCAGACTGGTTTTTGCCACTCACCCTGATCAACTTAGAATAGGTAATTTGCTATATAATATGTAATATTGATGTTATTATTGTAAGTAACAGAATTTGTTTGGCAATTCTTTACTAACTTAGAGTCAAATTTGTAGGAGGGATTGTAGCATTTTTCAGGTCATTTGATATATAACGTCACATTTTGTTATTGACAGGGCATGTTAGGTTTTATCAATAGGCTTTATTAAAATACAGACAAATAACTATTCCCATTCTGACGTGTAACTCACATATTGTGATTCACTTCGCCCCTCAAGTTTATAGTACATTTAACAAAATAATATTTTTTCATTGTGCTCCTTATAAAATTTTGTTTCGCTGCGCCAGTTAGTAATAAAGACAGACCAATACAGTGAACCACGAGGTTTAATATCAAGGCTAAAACTAGTTAACTAAGTGAGAACATGAACGAAGTTAATCGAGCGAAAAACCAAGATGGCCGACCACGGGTCGGTCACGTGGGTAAAACAAAAGGTACCGCTGACCGGTACTGGCGCTGAATGTACAATAAACAATTTATGTCCTGTGTCCTAAACAAATATATTGGCGTTTGCATTACTTTTGTTCATTAGAGTCAATATTCAAAACTTTATGACAGATCTAAATTAATGAATGGTGAACTGTTAAACAATATAGTAATCCGAATAAATGTTTATGGACGGGGGAATAGTCCACTTCGCGGATAATTCGAAATTTTACATTACGTCGTTATGGTAAATCATTGACATCACTGGAAAGAGCGTCATAAAATCAGTCAAATTTGCCAAGTTTGAAAATAATCTGATTTAAATTCAAAGATATACGGCACTTCAAAAACACTAAATTTCGCATAGAAATGTTTGGTGAGGTTGTGACAAGTCAAGGTCAACCTCAATCAATTTTTAGTGGAATCCTGCCTGGCTCGCGAGCACGTATATATCTGTATTTCTAAAACTCATGAATTATTCATTAGACATTCTTCCAATGACCATTCAACTATGGGTCACATGACAGGATCTATAWCTCAAGTTATAAACACTGATTAATTAAACATGAGTTTTATAACTAACCGGTTCAGTTAGTTATAACACTCATGCATAAAACATCAGTGTTGTAACTGATTTACAGACACGATGTGTGCCCAACACTAGAWAARTTCTCAGTTTTAGACTCTCATCATAGAACTTCACTAGGTCTCGAGTTAAAAATACTTATTTGCAGAGTCACAGTACACTAAAACTGAACCTCACCACATGAAAGACAGAAACACTATACTACAATTAGTGTCATTTTCATTTTTTAGCCTATTTCGAGGGTTTTTTAGGTTGGCTTGACAACGGTTGAATATTAAATCGAAAAACATTCAAGAAACATGCCATTTTAGATCTTTGACTCACATTTTATGTCTACAGGTATGGAGCGTGTTGTTTCATGTGTAGATGCCATCCGTAAAGAAAATCTCTACTGTAGAAATAGAAGTATGTGTCATGACCACCTCACTGCTTTTAACAGTGACAAAACTGATGAAGTGATGACCGATGGCGAATCATTTGAAGAACAAGCACAAGGTTTTAGATTAAGTATCAGTAATAGTGACTGTCTTTCATTGAAAACAACAGAAAAAAGGACAAAAGAAATTGAGAAACATCACCACGAAGATGTTGCATCCAAAACTGAGTAATCAGTCTTTGCATCCAGATTTTTCAGTTTCATTAAGAAAGTACACTACTTTTAGCTTGTATGTCATAACAATCCAATAACTTCTTGTATTATTTTGATATTTCGTTTCTCTCAAAACAAATGAGCAAATTGTGAGGCCAGTAACGGGCTTAGTGTCTTTTTGTTGTGTTAAAATACGTTTATTATACGGTATWTTTTCTGGGAGTGAGGAACGAACGACAGAAGATTGCCCCTGGGTTCCCGAGGATGYACAGAAGTGGAGGGTTGAAAACACTGACCCCCGGTCAACGGACCCCTCCATGGACCAATGTCCACGGACCACCCATGAAAACATTGCAAATGCCAAATAATGCACTAGTCAATTGAAACCCCCGCCCCCCGCCCCCCGGGGCTAGCGGGGCACTGAACGGGGACGTGACGTGTTTTGAACGTGCTATAACAGCAAGATTGCCCCGGGGGATCGGGATTTTGATGAATTGCTTTGGAAGCGGGGCAAAGAGCGGCGATTTTAACGCGCGTTTGAACATGTACATAGGGCTGGAAACTAGAGGTCGACCATCTTGAGAAATACCCTGAAGGCATTGGTATTNAGCAAATTATGTCGGAATATATCTTTTTTCACTAGTGAAAATATCAATTTAACGTAATTGAGAAATATAGGTATTTCATAGATAATTATATGATAAAAAACGATATTCAGCTTAACCAAGTATACCAGGATTATTAGGACACTTTACCCTACCAAACATCAAAGTATGAGCCAAATCGATAGGTTTTTCCACCACATGTTCGATTTTCTCGGACATGTACTCTTAATTCCTGCGTTACATGTGCTTAGAGAGTTTTCTTCTTCTTTTGCTGAAGATAGTGCCTTCCCTGTCTCTAGAAGAGGAACAAATGGTTTTTAAAAAGTTCCTGGATTTCAAAGTTTACATCGGGCCTGGACAAGCATTTTGTTACAATGAAGGTGGATGGTTCAGACTGGTTTTTGCCACTCACCCTGATCAACTTAGAATAGGTAATTTGCTATATAATATGTAATATTGATGTTATTATTGTAAGTAACAGAATTTGTTTGGCAATTCTTTACTAACTTAGAGTCAAATTTGTAGGAGGGATTGTAGCATTTTTCAGGTCATTTGATATATAACGTCACATTTTGTTATTGACAGGGCATGTTAGGTTTTATCAATAGGCTTTATTAAAATACAGACAAATAACTATTCCCATTCTGACGTGTAACTCACATATTGTGATTCACTTCGCCCCTCAAGTTTATAGTACATTTAACAAAATAATATTTTTTCATTGTGCTCCTTATAAAATTTTGTTTCGCTGCGCCAGTTAGTAATAAAGACAGACCAATACAGTGAACCACGAGGTTTAATATCAAGGCTAAAACTAGTTAACTAAGTGAGAACATGAACGAAGTTAATCGAGCGAAAAACCAAGATGGCCGACCACGGGTCGGTCACGTGGGTAAAACAAAAGGTACCGCTGACCGGTACTGGCGCTGAATGTACAATAAACAATTTATGTCCTGTGTCCTAAACAAATATATTGGCGTTTGCATTACTTTTGTTCATTAGAGTCAATATTCAAAACTTTATGACAGATCTAAATTAATGAATGGTGAACTGTTAAACAATATAGTAATCCGAATAAATGTTTATGGACGGGGGAATAGTCCACTTCGCGGATAATTCGAAATTTTACATTACGTCGTTATGGTAAATCATTGACATCACTGGAAAGAGCGTCATAAAATCAGTCAAATTTGCCAAGTTTGAAAATAATCTGATTTAAATTCAAAGATATACGGCACTTCAAAAACACTAAATTTCGCATAGAAATGTTTGGTGAGGTTGTGACAAGTCAAGGTCAACCTCAATCAATTTTTAGTGGAATCCTGCCTGGCTCGCGAGCACGTATATATCTGTATTTCTAAAACTCATGAATTATTCATTAGACATTCTTCCAATGACCATTCAACTATGGGTCACATGACAGGATCTATAACTCAAGTTATAAACACTGATTAATTAAACATGAGTTTTATAACTAACCGGTTCAGTTAGTTATAACACTCATGCATAAAACATCAGTGTTGTAACTGATTTACAGACACGATGTGTGCCCAACACTAGAWAARTTCTCAGTTTTAGACTCTCATCATAGAACTTCACTAGGTCTCGAGTTAAAAATACTTATTTGCAGAGTCACAGTACACTAAAACTGAACCTCACCACATGAAAGACAGAAACACTATACTACAATTAGTGTCATTTTCATTTTTTAGCCTATTTCGAGGGTTTTTTAGGTTGGCTTGACAACGGTTGAATATTAAATCGAAAAACATTCAAGAAACATGCCATTTTAGATCTTTGACTCACATTTTATGTCTACAGGTATGGAGCGTGTTGTTTCATGTGTAGATGCCATCCGTAAAGAAAATCTCTACTGTAGAAATAGAAGTATGTGTCATGACCACCTCACTGCTTTTAACAGTGACAAAACTGATGAAGTGATGACCGATGGCGAATCATTTGAAGAACAAGCACAAGGTTTTAGATTAAGTATCAGTAATAGTGACTGTCTTTCATTGAAAACAACAGAAAAAAGGACAAAAGAAATTGAGAAACATCACCACGAAGATGTTGCATCCAAAACTGAGTAATCAGTCTTTGCATCCAGATTTTTCAGTTTCATTAAGAAAGTACACTACTTTTAGCTTGTATGTCATAACAATCCAATAACTTCTTGTATTATTTTGATATTTCGTTTCTCTCAAAACAAATGAGCAAATTGTGAGGCCAGTAACGGGCTTAGTGTCTTTTTGTTGTGTTAAAATACGTTTATTATACGGTATWTTTTCTGGGAGTGAGGAACGAACGACAGAAGATTGCCCCTGGGTTCCCGAGGATGYACAGAAGTGGAGGGTTGAAAACACTGACCCCCGGTCAACGGACCCCTCCATGGACCAATGTCCACGGACCACCCATGAAAACATTGCAAATGCCAAATAATGCACTAGTCAATTGAAACCCCCGCCCCCCGCCCCCCGGGGCTAGCGGGGCACTGAACGGGGACGTGACGTGTTTTGAACGTGCTATAACAGCAAGATTGCCCCGGGGGATCGGGATTTTGATGAATTGCTTTGGAAGCGGGGCAAAGAGCGGGGATTTTAACGCGCGTTTGAACATGTATATAGGGCTGGAAACTAGAGGTCGACCATCTTGAGAAATACCCTGAAGGCATTGGTATTTAACCCCGCTTATTTATTTATTTTTCCTTGCATGAAATGTTTTTAAAAGAAACATGGGATGCATGGGTGGCCGAGCGGTGAGAGCGCTGGCCTGTCACCTCTGTGGACCCTGTTCGAATCTCGGTCGGGGCGCCATATGTGATTTGAGTTTCTTTCGTTCTCTCCCTTGCGTCGAGGGTTTTTCCGGGTCTTTCCGGGTTTTCCTCCCTCAGTAAAAACGAACCATTTCTATCTTCTGTGCTCCGCGTTCAGTCGTTCGTTGCTATGTAAAGGAAGCGCCTAGCCGGCAGCACGCCTATATGTAAGTGTCTGTAAAATGTGTCTGTAATATACATTGTAGCACTTCGACTTGAGAGCGCGTCGAGCTGCGTCTTTCGCAATTCAGCACCCATGTTGCCATGAAGGACGATTAGCACCCAACACCTTTTCCGTTTCCTTATTAAACGTTTTTCTCCGTCCAGTTATAGCCTTATGTAGTACGAAAATGAGTACACAGGATTATTTAAATTTACCCTGTGTATCACAGAAAATTTGATTGAAAGGTGTTTGTTTTGTGATTTACTATTAGAACAAATAACGGGGCAACAGTAGCGGGGATTTTAACAATGAATGTGGCCTGACTACCGGGGGAAATGTCTTATTTTAACACCACTTAAACGTTAAATTTCCCGGTATTCCCCGGGGGTCGGAGAGCATTGGTATTCATCCCCGCTTTTTTATTTGTTAATTTTTCCTTGCTTAAATTTTTTTTAAAAGAAACTTATAACACATGTTTTTCTCTGTCCAGTAAACCTCATGTAGTACGCAAATGAGTACACAGGATTATACAAAAATTAACCCTGTGTATCACAGAAAATTGGGTTGAAGGTGTTTGTTTTGTTATTTACTAGTAGACCAAAATAGCGAGGCAACAGTAGCGGGGATTTTAAAGGCTGATTTACACGGCACGACTGTCTAGTGCGATTTGTAGTATACGACTTGAATCGTGCAGTGTAAATGCCCCTACGACTTGTCTACAACAGTCGTACGCAAYCTACGACTTGTAGTAGGGTTTTGAACCATGGCTTAAAATCCTACGACTTGTAGTTAGGAAAATCGTATACTACAAGTCGCGCGCGACAAATCGTACCGTGTAAATCAGCCTTAACAATTTTAATTTTAATTAAAATGTGTCCCGACTACCGGGGGAAATGTCTTATTTTAACACCACTCGGGGGTCGGGGGGCCCTTTCAATTGACTAGTGCATTAGTTTAAATTATAACGAGAACCATTATGTATGAGTCAATTCCAAAGGTGCTCANCGCTATTAGCAGCCACGAGGCTTACAATCATTTTTGGGAACATTCTCGATCTTTTGTACTTTCACGATGAGAAATCACGATACAAAAAGCAACAAAAACACTCGAAAACTAGCGTAAAAAAACTGACTTATGGGGCGGGCATTTGACCACTCATTTGCTTTTACTAGTGGGCATTTGACTGTCAATTTTGCCCATATGGTGGGGAATTTGACCTATTTTTTTCCAAAAAGTCAAATGCCCGGTTGAAGGTCCTTAAATTCTCTCCTTTCGTATATATTGCTTGTTTCTACGAGTGTAATATTTAATTTCGCCCATCATATTTTGCAGTCCTGTTCTAGCTAGTTGTCCTGAGTCATTTGAGATACAAGTAGTTGAGGTGTCTCGCAAAATAACAAGGATACTGTGTGAAATCGATGTCAAATAATTCCAGTTGAAGAATTATTAATTTCAAATGTTAGATAATACGAAAAGGAGTTAACTGAACAGTTATGAAGGACTTGGTCGACCGAGGGAGCGTGTAAACTCATTTTAAATTCTTCGTAATTTCCGGGGTCATCGGCGCGTGATGTGCGTGAGAAATTTTCAATAGAAGATTCACTTCAAAGTATTCCCTCTGGCTCTTGATTCTCATTAGAAGGTTCAATCGTTCTTGATTCTCGACAGAAGGTTCGATCAAAAGTACAGTCGAACCTCTATTAAGCGGTCACACTCGGGAAAAACCAAGTGATCGCTTAATAGAGGTTGCCTAAAATTAAGCTTTTTACGTGGCAAAAAAAATGTATAAAATTACGAAACTCATCACGTAATGTAGTGTTAAGGAATATAAATTAATACAAGGTTGATAGTTATAGTTTATAAAATAAATATACTGTACACAGTAAGTACAGTAGAATAGAATACAGTACTTCATGTACAAATTTACATACACAGATTAATGTACAGTTATTCAAAGAATTCGTCTGTTCGCACTTTGAAGAGGGTCTCAATGGGGTGGTACGCATCACGACTCACGGCTAAAAATTTGGCGATTTCACGACTCACGACTAATTTTTTCGAATAACGGTTAACTAGATTACTTTTAGAAATTTTTGAATTACGTTTTTCATTGCTTTTTCTTTTTTCGTATGAATAGACTGCGTGACTTATTCGTACGGACATAGATTTTTCTATTTCAAATAAGCCGAAATGCGACTATTTCCACGAAAAAATGATTAATCATAAATTCATACTGCACAAAAAAAATCCAAAAAGTTTTAAACATGCATAGCAGGTATTGAGAACATAGTAGTGACATTGCTGCAGTCCGTGTCTGACATCGGAGTTTACGAATAGATGAGGTGACGGTTTTGTCCGCCATTTTGGACCGGTAGGCATAGTGTCGCAAAATAACAAGGAATGACCGGGAAATCGATGTCAAATAATTCTCGCTGAATTCAAATTTGCAAACGTTAGATACTGCAAAAAGGAGTTAACTGGCCAAATTTGAAAGGCGTACTTGATCTAGAGAGCGAGTAAACTCATTTTTAGTTCTCCATACATTTCTTTGTAATTTCAATACATTTCGTTATCATTTCCGGGGTCATCAGTGCGTGACGCGCGTGAAAAATACAAAGAAATGTATTGAGAACTAAAAATAAATTTTCTCGCTCCCTAGACGAAGCACATCCTTCAAATTTGGCCAATCATCTCCTTTTTGTAGTATCTAACATATGCAATTGATAATTCTTTCTGAATTTGAATTCAGCGAGAATTATTTGACATCGATTTCCCGGTCATTCCTTGTTATTTTGCGACACTATGCCTACCGGTCCAAAATGGCGGACAAAACCGTCACCTCATCTATT